CATAACAATTAATCTCACAAATTTTTAAGCTTATTTACCAAAAGATAGTGCAAACATTATGAATTGTTTACACTAAAAGGTGTTTGCATCTTAACACATCGTTGAACATCGCTTATTTTTGTCCTTCTTTTACTTCTTCTTCAAAGTCAATTTTATGCCAAATATTATATGGAAATAAAAGTTTATCTTCTTCTTTTTTTTTTTTTTCTTTTTGCCAGGATACAAAAATATGTTACACAAAACTGTGATGTTATTGTCTGCTAAAATACCGAGAAAGAATAGTTGAAAATTTTGAAAGAAGTACAGTTACTTGTAGTTTTCAGCAGTTTAAAAAAATGAGCTTATCACCAGGAACACTGTTACACATTAACGGGATGCAAAAAACTTATAAACAATTAAGTTTTCAGTGTTTTCTTTCAGTAACGTTTAGAAATGGTTCAGTGGTATGATTTGAAGTCAGATCATAACTTTAAGACTATTTTTTTGCCCAATTTCCAGTTGAATTTGTATACAGAGTACACCTAAACATATAGTAAATCGAGAAGAAAAAAAAACTATCAAAGTTTCATCAAGGAGACAGCTATTTTACAAATTTTCAGGCAAATTTCTGTTTCTTAACTGATGAACCAATTTGCAATTTTTAAATTCAACTTCAAAACCCGACATGTCATTATCGTCATTGAAAGAAGAAGAAATACAGTAAGCGTATTGTCGTCTTTTTTTTTGCAAGAACTATTAAACTACAAAACAGCTAACTTGCTTTTAGATGACCTAAGAGTTTTTGTCACCATTTCAACAGTTAATCTTAATTAAGCAATAAAAAATGTTTTTTTAATTTACTGCAGTTATTTTCTTATTTAAATTTGTTTTTAACAAAGTGACGTATTCAGATAAATGCGAATGATCTTTTCACACCAAATTTGTTCTGATATTTTGCTACTACATTACATATCACTTCAAGAAATAAATTTTTTTTTTTTTATTTTGCATTGTTCAAAATTAAGCTTTTTTTTTTTTTTTTTGCAACAGTGAGTCACTGTTAACTTTTGCAAAACAGATATAAAAATGGGTTTTAAAAGAAGTTGTTTAAACTGATAAAACAACTGAAAACTGACTAAGCTGTCTTTGATCGGTTAAACAACAGCAAATTGATGTGATCTCTCAGCTTTCTTCAGTTAAGGTGTTTTAAATAGAAACAAATAATTTCCGGTTTTATTTATGTTCAACAAATTATTTATTTGGAAAGCTTTTTAAAACAAAACTTTTTTTACGCTATTCCTCCTTCTTCTACTCCTTCTCCAATACAATTTACTCTACACATTATATTTCTCCCCCTCCCCCCCCCTTCAAAAAAAAAAAAAAATTTTTTTTTTTTTTTTTTT